AAAAACCAAAAACCTACACTCTGTCTCCAAACAACACACAGGAGAGCAAGTAATTAAAAGTTACATCAAGCCGGGCGGTGGTGGCGCACGCCTTTAATCCCAGTACAAGGGAGGCAGAGCCAGGCGGATCTCTGTGAGTTGGAGGCCATCCTGGTCTACAGAGTGAGTTCCAGGAAAGGTGCAAAGCTGCACAGAGAAATCATCATTTAGATGGCTCCAACCGGGGGCAGCAGTGGCAATACACATTACAACTTTGTTATGATTGACTTTAAACCTGCTTTTTCTTTTCTTTTCTTTTTTTTCTTAATTTATTATATTTTTTAAAGGTGAGATTACTTGTTTGGTATTTTTTTTTTTTAATGCCGAATGCCATTTATTGAAGGAGGGAAGAGGTCTTAAATACAGGCTTACAGCACAATGGGAGAACCCCGGAGTACAGAAGTTCCATACTGATGTTTTACAATCTTACATCTAAGCTGTAAGCCCATTATGCAGGATACACAGACAAGGAACTTCCCTTAAGCATTCAAGAGAGTGGAACCTGGCAGGGAATTAGCATAGGGAGGATATCAAGGTCAGCAAGCAAGGCAACAGTTACCCAAAAAGGGGGCGGGGGGTCAGGCACCTATAAAACCTGCTTTTTCTAAAGACATTCTCTGATGAACTTGGGGACCTTTTACCGTGAATTTCAGAATCCCCCTCAGCTGAGCAGCCTCTCCATAGATATTGGAGCCAGTCTATGGTAGAAGACTTGGATTCCTTACCAGACAAACTGGCTGTGCATGAGAAGAATGTCCGAGAATTTGATGCCGCAGCATCCCCTTTCTATGGACCCAGCAGAGAACCTCCTGCTCCTCAGCAGCTCCCTGCCTTCCTGCTATTTCTGGCCAGGTGAAAGACATTGTGGTTCCCTATGGGACCTAGAAGTTTCTGCTCTTGGACTTCCTGGAGACTCATGGCAGCAGTCAGGCCCAGTGCCAGACTTTGGGGGAGGACTCTGGCTATAACTGAAGAGCTTCAGCAGGGACCATCCTCAGCTGCTTCACAAAGGGTGTCATCCTGTTCCTTCTGCTGCCAGCCTCCTGCCTGGTCTGCTACCCTGCAGTTGGCCCTGCCTGCTTGTCCTTACCATCAGCCGCCTGACATTCCAGCTGGTAGCTGGGAGACTGGGCAAGACAGAAAGAGCAAGGAGATCAAGCTGGGTGAAGGAGGGCTCTGCGTCACCAGTAGATCCTGGACCACCCCCCTCTCCCTCCTTCTTTCCCCCTCCTTTCCCTCCATCTTAACTCATAAGAGTCACAGAAAGGTTCTTTCCTCCCTCAAAAAAAAAAAAAAAAAAAAAATGTTAGAGTTCCATCCCAGGTCACATTTAGTAGTTACCCTTCTAGAACTGTTCTCTGCTCCCAAAGTCTCAGCACTGAATTGGATCCACTCCAGCTCACAGTGTTGCCCTTTTGAGATACTCTGTAAAGTCTTTCTATGCACAATCTAGTATAATCCTTTCAACAGCCCTATAAGATACTATCTTATTTTCTGTTGCTGTGAAGAGACTCTGTGACCAAGACATCTTATAAAAGTAAACATTTATTGGGGCTCATAGTTCCGTAGGGTTAGGATCCATGATCAAATCTTGTCAGGGAGCACAGCAGTAACAGCCAGGCAGGTATGGCCCTGGAGCTATGGTTAAGAGTTTACATTCTGATTCAGGTTGGAGGCAGAGAGCTCACTGGGAATGGCTTGGGCTTTTGAAACCTCAAAGCCCACCCTTAGTGACACACCTCCTAATGCTTCCCAAACAGTTCAACTGGGAACCAAGTATTCATATATATCATCTATGGGGATTATTCTAGTTCAAACCACCACAAATAGTTTATGCCATCTTATAGCAAGGTTAGAGTTAAATCTTGTATCCTATGGGTGTGGTGGAGTCAAAGAGAGACGTCTCCAAAGAAAAGCAAGTTGTTAACAGAATGAGGGAATGGTTACTAGAAAAGTGAAGGGAACAGAATTCCCTTTAAACCAGTGGTCTTCAACCTGTGGGTCACGACCCTTTTGACAAACCTCTATCTTCAAAAATATTTACCTTAAGATTCCTAACAGTTGGCTGGGCATGGTGGTACAGGTCTTTAATTTCAGTACTCTCTGTGAGTTCAAGGCTAGCCTGGTCTGAAGAGCAAGTTCCAGGACAGCTAGGACTGTTACAAAGAGAAACCCTATCTCAAAAAAATAAAACAAACAAAAAATAGTAGCAAAATTATAGTTATGAAGTAGCAACGAAAATGACATTATAGTTGGGGGTGACTGTAAAGAGTCTTTCTATTAATCTACCTGCTGCCATGTGGCTCATGTCTTTTTTGTCTCCTGCGTGTCCTGCTTCTTCTGTATCTGACTGGAGACTCCTTGTTTGTTTGTTTTTTAAAGGGATTATCTGCAATTTTTTTTTAAAGATTTATTTACTTATTATGTATACAGTATTCTGTCTGCATGTATGCCTGCAGGCCAGAAGAGGGCACCAGATCTTGTTATAGATGGTTGTGAGCCACCATGTGGGTTCTGGGAATTGAACTCAGGACCTTTGGAAGAGCAGCCAGTGCTCTTAACCTCTGAGCCATCTCTCCAGCCTGACTCCTGTTTCTTCTTCCCAGAACTCTCTATCAGGAAGTCCCACCTGTACCTCCTGCCTAGCTATTGTCTGTTTAGCTTTTTATTAAACCAATCACAGTGACATACTTTACACAGTGTAATCAGTTATCTCACAAAAGGTCACAACAACATGAACTGTGCTAAATGGTTGCAGGTTGAGAACTACTGCTTTAAACCGTTTTTTTTTTTTTTTTTTTTTTTTTTGGTTTTTCGAGACAGGCTGACTTTGGGTCACTTTGCGCCTTTCCTGGAACTCTGTCTCTGGCACAAGAGAAATAAGAGCAATTCTATGAGCACTTTTCAGAGAGCCTTGATGTTGAAGGTCATAGACTGGGCAAATTCCCTGACTCT